TCTTCTTTAGAATATTTGTCCTTGTTGCCCCATTATTTCTTATTTGCATTTTTCTTCCTTCGTACATTATTATACACACATTTTCCACTTTTAACCTTTCCACATTTATTCTCTCTTATTTCTACTCTCCAACCAGTCGTACCACTTGTTCCATATTAAATAGTATTCTGTGTCTTCCTTTTCTTTTATCTCTTTTGTTCATTTGTCCATCTCAGCACAGTCCAGGATTTTCTTTATCCCTTCTTCCTCTGATGGTATATTCTCATTTTTCCAGAACTGTGCGTATGCTATTCTTGCTGCCGTTGTTGTATGTAGAATTAAGTACCGTATTTCTTTACTATATTTTCTGTTTAAAATACCCAGCAAAAAGATCTCTGGTTTCCAGTCTACGGGTTGGTCTATTATTTCTTCGATCCATCTTCTTATTTTAGTCCAGTATTTTTTTGCAACGGGGCATGTCCACCATAAATGATAATATGTTCCATGTACTTTTTTACATTTCCAGCATGTCAGCGAATTATTCTGGAACATCTTGGCAAGCTTTGCTGGTGGAAGATGCCATCAGATGGCTTATTTAGTCTGGCACCAGGAAGCAAGGCAGGTAGTAGATGGGAGCTGTAGCTCAGACGCCTTTTTAGCTTTCTGCGCAATGAGCGCTGCAGCCCTCAAAGATTGCAGATCCGTCCTCTGAATATTTTAAATACAGGTAGTCCCAACATTTCTGTGGCTAAGCGAAACCTTTGTTAACTGAGAATCACTGCTTGTTGGTAAGTTAGTGACACTGTTGTTAGGCGAAACTGGTTTCCCCATTGTCAGAAGGTCACAAAAAAAGGTCACATGACCCTTGGGCACTGCAGCTGTCATAAATATGAGTCAGTTGCCAAGCGGCTGAATTTTGATCACGTGATCATGGGGATGCTGCTGTGGTGGTGTGAAAAACGGTCATAAGTCTCTTTTTTCAGTGACGTAACTTTGGTCACTAAATGAACCATTATAAGTCAAGGGCTACCTGTATAGGGAAATCTGCCATCAGTTGCTCATCTGGTTTTTTACGCAGTCCAGACCAGTTTTATTTTGGATGAAT